GCTCGATCATCAGCACCAGCATCAGAATGACCATGACCATAATCAGGAACCCTGCTGACAATGTCCCTCAGAAAATCAAACACATTATAGCTCTGTACGCAATGTTTTCTGCAATTTAGTTGGTGAATGTAGTTAGACCAGTTCAAATGAATAACTGAAGTCTTCAACTTCACTGCAGATATTAGAAATTGAACAAGGTTATTTCTTCACTTACAAATGCAATGCACTCATAGTCTTTGCTCCTCTCTGAAGAGTTATCTCATATGTGCGATCACAGAGGTCTTGCAAAAATAATTCCAATGCTTTAGCTGCACAATGTTGAAAAAGGGCATGAGAAACAGGAAACAAAATTGAGGAACTACTCTATAAGAAAACATGATGGTTATAGGCACTCACAAACTAAAACAGGCACTGCTAATGCTATCTTCCCAACATCCTCATCAGCTTGCATTATCTTCTTAATTCGAACCTGAGAAGTCAAAACATTTTATAGGAATAAAAAATAACTCCTATAATGGAGAAGATTATAGGAAACCATAGGGCAAAAAATAAAAACATTGTGACAGAAAGATGGCTCACAAGCATGGGTATAACAATCAGCCAAGAATGAGTTTTGTTTTCTAGTCTAATACTCTTTAGTACATCCCTATGGAGTATCATTTGAATGTTTTCCTTTATGTATCAAATTTTTAAACATTCTTTATATCCATGATCCCAGAAATTTTGCTTCCATTCCCCTTTTTTTTGGCTGCAATTGGCTTTCTATTTGAGGTTTGTTTCTTTCAAAGCTTTTGAAAAAAAGGGAAAAACATAACAAATAGAAACATGCAGCACTAAACATGTTGGAACTGCAATTATTTTGCTATAAGCAATCAAAATTCAAAACTCTGGAATGGATCAGGATGAAAGGAATATATGAAGCAAAAAGAAAAACAAAAGTAGCATTTCAATTCAAGTACTCAACCCTAATGTCTTGGTAACTTGCCAGTCACGCCTCAACAGAAAGCAATAAATCCATTATCAGCAAGCCCAACACAATTACCAAGTTTTAACCTTCCAAAACGATCAAGACAGTTGTAGATATGTTTGGACCAACTCATAAAAGGATATATATATATATATATATATATATAAATGCTCTTCTTTCTTACAAGAGTTTTTAATTCCAGAGAAAATAACAAACTTTTTGAACCCCATACACCAAGCAATAATCAGTATTCAGCAATCAAAGATTGCTAACCAAATATCAAAAAAGGAAAAGAAAAATTGTAGTTATCAAGGCCAAGTGAAGAATTCAAGAATGTACCACTAACTTTGACACTATAACAGCATTTCCAACAACATTTGGAATTGGAAAGAGGAGTGTAATCAACGCATATATACTAATTTACTCTACTGTTTCATACCTCACATCATCAATAACTTTGGTACACACTACAAAAAAATGGCTAAATAAAATGACCAAAGCATTGTATAAACAGACTATGGTACTAAATCACTTCATAAGGTTTAAAACTTTGAATGGAAAACAAGCCCTGAATAAGAATAATCCAGATTACACACCCCATAGCTACATAACCAACAATGAATTTAAATTTTAAAGCCACTTAGGATCATACAGGGGAAAAGCACAACACAATAGTCCATTCAAAACCAACAAACCCCAAAACAACTTTAAGAAGAAACGGCAACATTGGCAGTCAACCACTCCAGAAAAATTCAATTACAAAAAGAAAAAAAAAGGGGTCTAATCAACTAATGTTTTAGCAAAGAGTAGATCACATGTCTCCACCAGTCCAATAGACAGGAAACGTCAGTCAAGAGAATAAACCACTAAACTTTATTAGATAAATCACTATTCTGAATATCCTTAAAAAAAAAAGAAAAAAAGAAAAAAAAAAAGAGGACTTTCGAACATAGACAATTCAGATCATAGAGTCTAGCAAACTACAAACACAGATCTTCTGAACAAAACAAAACCTAGACTGTAAAATTCCGCAACCCCCCAGAAATGAAACCCATACACATCAAGATATTACAAAATCAAACAATCAAAAGCACAAAAAAGCAGTCACGAGATAATCAGTTACCGGTTAGAAATCACCATAAAATCAAATACCCATCAACTAATTAAAAGTAAAACTCAGAAAAATACCCAGATAAATGCAAATGGATCATATAATACCATGAATCCCTCCAAAATTACCCCCAAATTAATCCCAAACCCAAACCAAAAAATACCAAAGACAAATTGATTCATGAATCAAGCAAAAACAGAGACAGTGCAACGTAAGAATGCAATCGGCAGCAGAAATGGAAAGGGAAAGATAGAAGCTTACAGCTGGGAAACGGGTATCGAGCTTCTTCCTCATGGTGTCAGATTTGCAGCATTAAATTAAATTATTCAACTTAGCACCCACAAAAGTATATAATAAAGAAGCCAAAATGGAAAAAGAAAGCCACAAAAAAAACCCAAAACCCCGACTTTCTTCTTCGAAACAAAAATCACACCTTGAACAGAAATCAAATCAGATAAGAATTCTTAAAAAATCCTATCTCAGATCCGACGACTGCTTGCTTCTTTCTTTTCTTTTCTTTTTTTTTTTTAATTTCGCTTGCTCATAAAAAAAAAAAGTCTTCGTTCCAATGGAATACCCGTCCGTACAGTGTCAGAAAAATAAAATAAAATTTGCGAGTAAAGCTACGTGTCGGTAAGTTTTATTTTAGAACAGCTTGGTCAAACACGGACATGTTTGTAATGACACGTTGTTTTGGGGAAATTCTGGATAAAAAAACATTGTTGACTGTTGACGTGGCTTGTGTTCAGTGGACTGTTTGTACGATGCAGTGACTGTCCCAAACCTTATCCAATTGTTGCCTTGTCCCAAATCTTTATAATTTTTTATATAAATTAATTAATTAATTTTATTTATTTAATAATTATGATATTAAATATATTAATTTATTTAATAATATATAAAAATTATAAAAAAAATAATATACGAAATTATTCCTATATCAACGTCATTTAGCTGTAGAGTAATACCACTCGCTGTATTCAATATTAATTGTTTTTTATTTAAATTAGTTATGTCTTAGGACATTATTTTTAGATAAAAACATAACCATAATATAAATTATAATTAAATCTTTTTTATCAAGGAAAAATATTTTTAATTGTTCTTCATAAATTTTTTTTATTTAACATTCATTTTCAAAAAATAAAAAAATTTAAATTTAAATAACTAAAATTAGATTGAGCAGTATATCAAATTAGCTAGCAAAGACTTAAAAAACTGAATAAATAATAATATTACAAATTCAAAATATCATTTATATCCCATTTTCCATTTTCTAAAAAAATATATCCCTCTTACATCTAATCTCCATGGCTGAAAATCAGTAGGCAAAGTGCACCAACACATATATTACATTTGTCAGGATTATGGACATCAATATATTTATTAATCCTCCGATATTGAAATTAATTTAATTGTTATATGTAAATTTTTAAAATAAATAAATAATTATTTATTTAATAAATAATTGTTATATATAGCAATAGGCCAGCAGCTGCTATAAGTGATCATGCCGATGCTTTAGACCTTGATTTGCTCTAAAGCTTTGATTATTTAAAAACATTATTTGTTAATTCCTGTTGTGTTTTAGGATGACCATATTTTTCCTTTTCCTTTTCCTATTGTCTGTTTGTTGATTATTTGTTATTTCATTTCTATTATACTAATCTACAAAACTCTAATTATTTGTTGAAGGGGGCTTCCCTGTTATAAGGCCACTCCCTAATCCAGTGAATATTTAAACTCATTTTTTACTTTTTATTTTTTAGTTCAGGATCACATAATCTTATAAAAATATCAAAATCATGGATGAATTCAAGACATTCAGTCCAAAGGGTGAAACATATTGTTAAAAATTTTGAGTCTTTAAGTATATTTTAAAATATTAGTTCATTTTTTTCTAAATTCTTTTTCTATTATAAAAAGATTTGATATGTAATGATCTCTTCTATTGATACATTCTTAATGAAATTAAGGAATAAATGTATTTATTAACAACAAGAAAATATCACAATAGCAAACCATGCAATGATTATTTGAAGAATGTATAAAAAAAGTTAGAATATTTATTTCAAAATTTAAAATCAAAGTGATCGGTAATTTAAATCTTGAAAAGTAAAATTACTGCTAGATCCCAAAAAATTCAAATTATTACATAGAATATTAAGAAATAAAATAAAAAAACACTAAAGAAAACTTTAAATTTAAAATTGTTTGAATAGAGAAGTAATAGTTTTAAAAATATTTATATTAATTTAAAAATTAATGTATATAATTTACATAAATATAGCATTTGATTCAATAGTTAAGTTTTAAAAATATTTATTAAAAAGTAGTGTTTTTGAAATTAAAATTTTAATTTTTTTTAAAAATCGAGATACTATACAATATTTTTCTATGTTGTTACGTTAAAACAAAATATTTTAAAAAGTTGGATTTAAGGTAA